ACAGTGCGGCCTACCCCCCAGGCGCCGTCCTGCAGAGCGGCCAGGGCGTCTTCCTGGAGGCGGGCCGCGCGGCCGCGCTACCCGATCGCGTATTCGTATTGATTGACAGGGCAGCGAGCATGGACGCCGTACCGTGGGAACAAGGCAGGGACTGGCTGGCAGACAGACACCGACTGGCACCCGCTCCCCGAGGTGCGTCGATCAAGTGTCCGTCACGAGGAAATGTTGTTTACACACAGAGAAAATAATAAAGGGTTCGGAGCGTTTGCGGAACAGGGACCGAAATGGGTATGGGGATTCAAGGAGTCATGCGCACCGATTAACCGGGTGACTTGTAAGCATTGGATAATGATTTAGGCGTATAAAGCGTCTTTTCTTTTGTGGAAGAGAGGACTTGTTTCTTGTTTGCGACGGTGTAGTCGGGGCTGCCGTGATGTGCCAAGGGACCGGGCGGCGTCGAGCGGAACGGCGGCAGGAGCGACACGGCACGCAGCGGGGAAGTGCAGCGAGGAAGTGCAGCGGGGAAGTGCAGCGGGGAAGTGCAGCGGGGAAGTGCAGCGTGGCAGCGTGACCACACAATGGTCTCGGACGCATTCTTGGACTGCATCTTACGCACTGCTGATACTGTTACACGACGGGTGGGTGGCGACTGGCGACGATACCCGCTTCACATCTCGTACCCGCTGCTTCAAACGTGGTTCGTTTTTCCGAATACATCCGATATCCGCTTACTCTGAACGCCGTCGGCCACTTTGACTGCCAGGATTTTTGCCTTTAGAGTGCTCTGTGGTACAATCAAGTTTGGCCATCGTAGTTTAAACTCGCCTATTTTCAGTGGAGTCAGCCAGCCGTTCAGCCAGTCGCAATCAGCCGCTCGCCCCCTCATCAGCTCGGCGGAAGCCTTACGGGCCGGCGCGCGCACGCACAGAGGGTCCCCGGGCCAGAACGCACTCCATGCGGAAAACCCCTCCAAACGACGAAATATGAGTCAGCGTCACCAAGATAGAGTGAAAATGTGAAAAATTTAACTATGCCGGAAAGCAAACACATCGAGTGTCAAAATTTTGCAACCAGGTCCATAATGGAACTCTGAGCTACCTCTACGCAACGTGCGGGCAGGGGACGAGGGGACGGGCAGCGCGACTAGGCCACGGCAAACTGCACGCCACATGACGAGGCACTTACAGTATCAACTGTAGCAGCCACAGCCGCGGAAGCAGAGACACAAGGCAGGCAGGCGACCCGCCTCCGCGGAAAGGTGCAAAGAAAATAAAATATCAAAGTGATATTGCCACTTTTACTGTCAATATTGGTTTTGGAAAATTGTTTTTATTATTGTTATTATTATACTGCTGCTGAGTAATCAGCCAGGAGCAAAGTGAGCGACGCCTCCTCCACTCAGCCAGCGACGGCCAGGCGTGTCGAATGATCGTGACGCGAGGCGCCTCTCTCAGTGAAAATGGGGATATCGGGAGATGCATAAAACAGCGGCGCAGAGAAAAAAGAAACACGTTATTGAAGTGGCTAACTTTTAAAAAAATATTTTATTAAAAAGCATTTATAAATAGTTCCCATATCCGGGGCGTGCAAACCATCTGTCAATAATTATGAGCCCCTATGGCCGCGCCCCACACCTCGGCGGACGATTAGCACGCTAAGCCAGAAATGAGCCCCCCTCCCCTTCTGAACTGCCGCGGGGCGAGCCAGGGCACGGCCTGGGCACGCCCACACTCACCTCCTAACATGACATGACACGGGGATTACACGACCGCCAAATTCAGCACAGTATATGCTTCACACCATCTGATTTATTGGCCGGTAGTTTGATATGATTTCCCCTTTGAAATAACACGAAAAACACTGAGGAAAATACTCGTAAGTTTACAGGAAAATTTTTCATGATGTGAGTCCGTAAAATTACAACTTGAAGTTGTAAAATTACAACCACTTCCTATACACTTGGAATTAATGGAGGAGCAAAAATGGTCCACCGTAAATTTACAACATTATTTTGTAATTCCAACTTACAAGAAATGTCGTAACTTTACGAGGAAATTTTTCACAGTGAATCTTGAAACGCGTGGTTTTCTGTCTCATGAAAACACGCAAAACATTTATTGAAACCAATAGTCTCCCGACAACGCTTTTGTTTAACGCATGGTGCCAGCCACCGGAAATCGACGACGGGGAGCAAGGTGTGGTGGGGGACAAAGATTAACCGGAGAGAACCGGATCCCGCCCCCATAAAGAAGTCTCTCGCGCTCACAAACACACAGACACACAGATCGCCGCGACGACTCGTGGCCCGGTGAACTATGCTACACATTAAGAGCACCGCAATGAGAGAGGTAGGGGTGGGGGGCGCACCTGGTCACACGTGGGTCACACACACCACATGATGGCCACGTCTCCAGACATAGCTACTATCGGCACGCCCTGGACAAGATCCTGGACGAGCGTTGCAACCGCGGAGGCCGGAGCTAGGCCAGCAGCAGCAGCAGATGTGAGAGCTGCGCGTGCTGCATCTTCTCCCGGCGGGAGGCTGTGCGTGGACCAGCTTATCGCGGCGGCGGCGGAGCGGCCAAACCGGAGTGCAAACGGGAGCGAGAGAGGCGGAGAGAGGGGCAGGAGAGTGCGGGTACAGAGTGAGTGAGAGAGGGTCGGGTCGAGTTCGAGATGTGCCCCGGCCGGCCCCGGCGCCGTCCGTGCCTCGCGGAGAAAGTGCACCCGAAGATAGACTCCGGCCCTCCCTCCCCCCCCCCCTTTTCCCCTGCACCTCTAGAGCGTGAGGTGCCGGGGCTTCAGCATCACGACAGCGCGGGCGGAGGGAGGGGCCTAAGTGAGCAGGGAACAGAAAAAAGCGACTCGCCACGGCCTCCGACAGCGACGCAGCGACGGCGTTTTCTCCGTCTGATAGGACCTAGCCCGCCCGGCCACGACCGTCCGCTGTCGCCGAGGTTCCCGAACAAAGGACGTCAGGACGCACCCGCCACGGCAGGACCTACCGGCGGTCGACGACCCCGCCCCCGGCACCCTCCCCCTCGTCTCTCCGGAACTCTGTAGCCACCCACTTACTGGGACTCTTCATCCGGCCACCCCCTCACCAGGACTCTTCCGCCACCCCCTTGCCACCTTGCCCCTTTCCACTCTCAGCATCAGCACGCACTCCCCTCGCACTCCTCAGCAGGGTTCTGCCCAGTCACCCCTCAGCAGGGTTCTGCACTCCAGTCACCCCTCAGCAGGGTTCAGCCCAGTCACCCCTCAGCAGGGTTCAGCCCAGTCACCCCTCAGCAGGACAGGACACTCGCTGGGCTCTCAGCGCACCGAACTCCAGTGGACTCTCCACTCCGGCATCCCCGGGCACCCCGCGTGCCCGCGCCGACCCACTCCACACAGTTCCAGGACCTTTCCAGGTGTGGTTCGTTGGTCCCGAGACAGCCCACATCCTCGGCGCAAGATGACTAACCTCCTCCTCGCACCTTACTGCCTGCAGTGCGGCGGCCGCGCCGGACAAGGCCGGCGTGGTGGCCATGTACGGAGCCAAGCGGTGCCGCCGCGCCGGGACGGGGCCCTGGTCAGGACTGCGTACGCCATATGGTTACTGCACTGGGTCAGCGCCGGACAAGGTCGGCCCGCCCGCCTCGGCCCGGGCACCTCGGCGGGGTCACTGAGCGCCGGGGGGCGGACGGCACGGCACCGGCAATCAATGACTCATTTCAAATGGGTTTGCCTATCGTCTGTAGCCAGCCATGACGCCCGATGGCCCCGTGCGAGTAGGCAACCCACCTGCACCCGCGCATGCGGGCTAGTATACGCGTTTGCTGGGACGGGGCACAACGACCACCTATATAAGAGGAACTCTCCTCAACAAAGCTTCCAATGTAATATAAGCTCGAGAACGGCGACATATGTAACGAACCGGATGACGGGCGCATTAGAGCACGCGCCGGAGTGTTGCGGGTTTGCCTATTTGTTCGAGGCCGTGATGCCGTGCTGTTTTAGCAGTGGTAGCAGTGGTTTGTGGCTCCACCCACACTCACCGCCGCTGCCCTACACTCGAATGCCGTAGCCGTGCTCGGTGCTCGCCCTGGGGGCTTCCCTGCGCTCGCGGCCACAAACAGTGAGGCGCCATTCGCCCCTTACGAGTAGGCAAACCCACGACGGCGCAACACCCCGATCAGTGAGACTTGACTGGTCGTGCGTCCCTTCGACGTCTCAGATAAAAGGCACAAGTTTCTCAATGTGTCCGTCCTATCCAGTCCGACAGCCTCCCTCCCCCCGCCTGCCTGTCACGCACGCAACGCCCTGCTACAGCTTCAGCGAATGCTCAGTCGAGCCGAGCCCGGCCGGGCCGGGTGCGTCCCACCGGTCCCACCGCAGCTCGCGGACACGCGAGTCATGCGCCACAATACATTGTGCAACTCGACACAATCGGGAAGCGCGAGTCGCACGACTCCTCGAGAAGTCATGCTCGCCTATTCGCATCGCACTTCCGAGAAAGGATGACAGGATCAAGAGTGCGGGTCGCGGATTGCGGGCGGGGGCGTTGTCGGAAGAATTATGCATAACAAATGCCATCGGCCGTTTAATAAATAAAATTCTACTGTAACACTCAAAACTTTACACCCCAGCCCAACAATTTTTGAGTGACAATGATCTGCTGTAATGTTGTGCACAGAAAAACTCTGCATATTAAGGAACATACTCTGTTTTTAAATCATGAGCTCTTTAAATTATGTTAGATTGTGAAGTAAATCATTTAAACACCACACTTTTTAAGAAAATTAAGAGGCGAGTAGTTCAATTATTTTTTTAGACAAAATGATAAAGGCCCAAAACTGACGAAACTTATGTTAAGATCCATACTTGTGCTTTATGTGGGCTAATAAATTAATTAAAGCGTGATTTTACCCTAAATCTTTTCTTGTTTGAATGTGAAAGAAAAGAAATTACACTTTAAAAACACTTACATAGCAAGGGTTTAAGATGCTGATACTCACCTAACAGCAACTCGAACAGTTGATTCCTCATCTGCCATGTTGATCCGGTTTATTCTTCAATCCAGAATCACAGGAGAAACATAACTTGCTAGGCAAGTTCACAGTTGAAGTTCACCAACAATACGAAGCCACACGAAGCACAATGACAGTCCACATAATTGAGACTTTCTCAATAATTTCACTTTATAGGGAGACACTGATTTCTTGGCATTTTAAGCACTGTCAAAACAATGTCTTCTTGATGCACTGCATGATAATAATCGGCGTCCTCTAACTGAAAAAGGGACATAGGGCTCTCATTGATTTTTATCTCTATGGGTAATAATAGTTTCATGATCTAGACACTTATAATAGTTGACAGCAGTATCATGTACGAAAGACATATCTAGCATAAAAATAAAATGAAAATCAAATATTTAAGGAGAGTAAAATTAAATAGGTTTTATAACCGACGGTTTAGTAGTTCTTATGGAAAATCCCAGAATCACAGTTTTCATTGAAACCTCGAGATCTACGGAGGCATCATCAAATCGGGGCCGTTATCTACTTCACCACTGAAACAATTATTCTTCATGAGTAAGAGTATGATCACACGAAAAAGAATGTCCAGGTACCTCACTATAAAATCCACCCATTCACGATTCACGGATTAAACTTCAATCATTCTGAATCTACGATACGAGGCGCACGGCAAAGCATCAGCAACTGTCAGGCGAAGGCAACAGAAGACAACTGACACACAAAATCAACAGTAGCCTTGCAAACGCTTTGCTTCGTTCTCTTCTGCTGACGAGAACCCAACCTCACAAAAACAACAAGAGAAGCTTACATGTATTTTGTCAAGTAAGCGAGGTCTTGTATGGTAACAACTCCTTTTTAATACAATGCATAATTTATACTGTACACAGTAGATGGATTATCCCTTCACAAGTTGTAAGTTGATTGTACAACTGGGTTCAGAGAAATTTGATGGTGCCAGCCTGGCAATCGATCAAAAAGGCTTCCGATGAGAACTTTACAACAACACTACACATCCATATGACAGGGGGAGACGATGCTCCACCATGAAGTATCTTCTGCCAAGTAAAACTGGTGAAACAGATGAATAAGAAAGTAAATTTATACTCGTACAATGATTTTTTGAGGAAAAGATTATCTCTTCTGTCTCACTTTCCCACTACTTTCTTGTCCAAAGAATAGCCCACTGACCGTGTAATTTCTCATACATTTTGAGTAACGGTTTACCTTGGTTTACCTTTTCTTGGCGCTGTAGTTATGCGGTTTGTGATTATGTGAATTTGATCCGTGGTGTTAAGTTATTTGAGTTTAAGCACGTAAGTATAAACGTCAGTTCTCAATTTGACATCATATTCCCAGCTGTCTTAAAATAACAAAAGTCTAAGAACCAAAATCAACACCATGTTAGACCTCCTAACCTCACTACACAAACAAACAGAAATTTCATACAGTCAATAAATGATAATACTCGATCTTTTCATCGATTTTTTATTAAAATATGTTCTGCTCAAAAATTGTCATTCTTCAGACGACCAGTTTTTTTCTTGATTTACTCTGTTTTTTTTATGTCTCTTGCTGGAGTGTCAGTGTTTTACTTGTTTTCCAGCTTTTCATTACAGCTTCTTCTATTAATGAGAACTGTTATATCATAGACAATTCACTATGTCATAGAATAGCATAGTAGGGTTTACGAAACTATTCCTCTTTGCCCTTACATTCAACCCACAACTGTTGTTTATCCTCATGTTTATCCAACGCTGTGATTATTGCGCTTGTATATTTCTCCTTTCAGTTGTTGCCTGACAACTCTCTAACAATCATTTAATTCTCTCTCAATGCATTCTTTCCAGACATCCTCATTATGCTCTTTTCAGAGCTCTGAAACCAAAAATGGGTGTTGATTTTGATGTGGCAGAGTTCTGCCGCAAATTGCGGGCACAGGAAGGTCCATACAAATGTCCTATGGAAAAATGTGGGAAAGTGTACCAAAGCATTGTAGGAATGAACTATCATCTACATAAATATGACCATGATAATCCATTAAATGAAGAGGGTACACCATCAAGTGTTGCTGGTCTAAAAACCCCTCATCAAAAACTTACAACACCAAAACCAAGGAGCTCCATAAAATCAGGTAAATTTATGGTCTTTATTTCAAGAAGTGTTGTTTCACATTTACTGGATTTTTGCATTTTCTTAATTTAAAAAACATATTTGTTTGTAGGACGTAAAAAAAAGAGTGCACATCGAGCTCCATTGCTAAAAAATGCAGTTGATCAGCAGATGATTCAACCTGCTCATGAAGGTTTAACTTATGCCGAAGCCCAAAGGATGGTTGAATTTGAGGTACTTGGAAAGACTGCCCGTGTAGAAATAACTGAACCACTCAAGTTCATTAGTAAAGAAGAATTTGAAGCATCCCAAAGTAAATTAGATGATAGTATTAAGCAGGAAGAACTTTCAAGCACACCACACCGAAAGCTTACTCCTGGTGGAAAGAAAAGTAAATTATCTAAAACTGCTGCTGCTGCTGCTGCAGCTGCAGCTGCCTCTCAACAAGCTGAAAACCGAATAACCTTACCTGAAGCCAGCTTCAAAATTTTAAGCAATTACAATGTTTCTGATGCACCACCTCGGCCCACACTGGCTTACATTCGTTTCATTGAGAAATCTGCTGAAGAGTTAGATGGAGAAGTGGAATACGACATGGATGAAGAAGATTCTGCTTGGTTGAGCATCATAAATGAAAAACGGGCAGAGCAAAGCCTTACACCTGTACCTGTGGATGCATTTGAACTTTTGATGGATCGCTTGGAGAAGGAGTCATACTTTATGATGCAAGTTAGTGGCAAGGGACCAGATGGTGTTCCAAGTATTATAGATGATGATGCTGTCTGTTGTATTTGTATGGATGGTGAATGTCAAAATTCAAATGTCATACTGTTCTGTGATATGTGTAATTTGGCAGTGCACCAAGACTGTTATGGTGTACCCTACATTCCTGAAGGTCAATGGTTGTGCAGACGGTGTCTACAATCTCCTTCTCGAGCAGTAGACTGTGTCTTGTGTCCAAATAATGGAGGTGCTTTCAAGCAAACTGACCGGGGACACTGGGCCCATGTTGTTTGTGCTCTGTGGATTCCTGAAGTTCGTTTTGCCAACACTGTTTTTCTAGAACCTATTGATAGCATAGAAACTATCCCCTCTGCAAGATGGAAGTTGACCTGCTACATCTGTAAGCAGAGAGGTGTTGGGGCCTGTATTCAGTGTCACAAAACAAATTGCTATGCCGCATTCCATGTGACATGTGCCCAACAAGCAGGCCTCTACATGAAAATGGATACAGTTCGAGACTCAGAGCCTGGCCCTATAATGGTCCAAAAAACAGCATTCTGTGATAACCATACTCCGCCAGATGCAGAGCCTAGGCCGAAAATTAACAGCAGAACTGGTGGTGGTATTTTAGCCATGTCACCCCCAGGAGAAGGTTCCAGTCCCAGTGGATCTATGAATTCTCCTGGCTCTCCTGATGCACTAAGTGATAAAATGAAACATGCAAGGCGAGTCCTTGCTAAGAGACGATCATGGGCTCCAATCATTAGTATCCCGACTATCCCTCCAGAAAGGTTTGTTATTACTACAAATGAGTTTTTCACTTTAGTGAAGGTATATTGATATTTCATTTATTTATGTTGTCCTTAATCTTTCTTATCTAGAATACAAGAAATTGCTACTCATGTAGCTGTGCCGAAGAAAAATCAGTTCATCCAAAGATTAATTGCATATTGGACCTTGAAAAGGCAATTCAGGAATGGAGTACCGTTGCTTAGAAGATTACAAAGCTCTCATCTCCAGCGCCGTGATGAAAGGAAAGGAGAAGCTGCTGATTCCAGTGATGCTGTACGTAGTGCAAACAGATGTGTTTATCCAAATGTGCATAGTTGCATTTTAATCATCTAAACTAAGCCACGTACATATTTATTTTCTGCAGGCGGAACTCTATCGTCAGTTAAAATATTGGCAGTGCTTGAGACAAGATTTAGAGCGGGCACGTTTGCTCTGTGAACTTGTCCGCAAACGTGAAAAATTAAAAAAAGAATTCATTCGAGTGTGAGTTTAGATTATATTTTAACTTATCAATCTTTCGTTTAATAATAGAAACAAGATCATATAATTTTCTCTCTTTTTTTTTTCTCAGTAAAGAACAAGAAACTTTAATGAACCTGGCTCCACTTCAGAATTTCATGAGGAACTTGCTGGATGCTATTCAAGCCAGAGATACTGGCAATATATTTGGTGAACCTGTTGATCAGAATGAAGTTCCTGACTACTCTGATGTTGTTAAAGAGCCAATGGATTTATCAACAATGCGTACAAAACTTGACAGCTATGAATACCAAACTTTAGATGACTTTCATCGTGACTTTATGCTGATGGTCTCTAACTGTCTTGCCTACAACTCCAAAGAAACAGTATTCTACCGAGCTGGTGTGAAAATGAGAGATCAGGTAAGTGGTATTTTTCAAGATTTGACCCAAAATATACTCCATTAGCACGTTGAGTCCCACATGACCACACGCGTGGTCACAATAACCCATGTTTACTACCCCCCCTGGGACTCAATGTGTGAATTATGCACTTGATCACTATTTCTCATCAAAATTGTAGGGTGGAGCTTTGATAAGACAAGCAAGAAGAGACATGGAAGCCATTGGGTTTGATACTGAAACTGGCCTGCTCTTGGACGAACCAGCACCTGGCCAGGGAACTGCCTCTCAAAAGCTATTTGAAAGTAACTCAGTAAGTCAATCAGGCAGTCATGTTAAATCTCGTTTATCAGACATTAGCTCTAGTGCTCCAGATGAGCTAGCTGCTGATATTGATATGGAATTGTCGAGGATTCTCAATGAAGGCAAAAACTGGGTAAGCCCACTTTCATCTTTGACTGTTTACCTTATCCATAATCTTTATTTTGTTCGTATTAATTGTTAATCTAATTTTTGTATACTTTATTTAGAGCTTAGAATACAAACTGGACAAATTGCTAGAACTGAAAGACTTAGTAAAAGATCTGAAGTCTCCAGTTGCTAGAAATAAACGTCTGAAATCAATTAGAGTTGAAATAGCCAATGTTCGTAGGAAAATGTCACTTCTTGCCTCAGGGAAAGTTCAAGGAATGCGAAAAAAATTGTTGAAGTCTGGTTGGTGTTACCTATGTTCATTATCAGTCTTTGGAATTAAAGTGAATTATTAGAAACCCCTGAAATTTTTCTCGCCTTATTTTTATAGATACAGAAGAAAGAACTGATACTAATACTGAACTAGAAGAGACAACTGAAGATGAAGAGGAGTCCAATGTTGTGGTGCCAGAAAAGACTGAACCTGAAGGTAAAGACTCTTTTAGAAAAGTCCTTCAACTTTCCAACTTTATTTCTCTTTTAAAAAATGTACATATTCTCTTTTCAGTAAAAAGAGGAAGGAAGCGGAAAGTGCGGGAAGAAAGTGATGAAGATAGTTCTTTCAAAGAATCACATAAGCAAGGAGTTAATTCACATCTTTCACCAGGAAAAGGTTTGGCTGTTAAAAATGTACTATCTAACATGATTTCTTCTTTTGTGTTTCTTAACAATAATTTTATTACTGTAATGTCAGAAGGATCCAGATCTAGTACTGGAGGTATTGCCACCACTCCACTTCGACAAGACCCAAATGTCAGTAATAGTGGTGGGAGTCAAACATCAGCATCTCCCTCTGGAGTGAATAGAAGAACTGCTGTTCTTTTCACCCGTAAAGCAGCTTCAGTCCTCAAAAAACCTGATACACCAGAGAATTCTTCAATACTGTAAGTAATAACTGCAGACTTCTTACTTATACATTTATTGAACTAGTCATTAACTGCATTTTTCCATACACAGGAACAATGATGCCAACCGTTCTACCTCTGGTAAAAGGCGTGGTGGAAGGCCTCGTAAAAACTTAGACTCTGCGTTGGGCATTAACTCTGAAAAAAATACTCCTATCCAAACTATGGGCAATGTAGATGATCTCATGCCTGCTCCCCCAGTGCCTTTCTCAGACAGTTTTCGACTTTATAGGAATAGTGGTGGTGCGTGTCTTGTATACCATGTCTGCTAGTTTGCTCTTAGTACATCAATCTGAAAATGTTAATCTTGTTTTTCTGGTATATTATAGATAATGTTAATGAAACTGATGATGACACCCAGTCAGAAACATCATGCTCCTCCTGTGTTTCCACTGGGGGTTCAACTGGTTCTTCATGTAGTGATGCTGATGGTGAAGGAGATGAGGATGGTTATGCATCGTCTGTTGATGTAACTGCTGTTGCTAGTTCAGGGGATGATGAAGAAGTTCACACCAAGCCAACTAAACCTGACAAGGGCTTGTTGCCTCCATTGCAGCTTGTATGGGCTAAATGCCGCGGTTATCCTTGGTACCCTGCTTTGGTAAGTATCTCACAAGGTTTATTTTATAAATTTTGCTTTTGCACTACAAGTCACTTTAATTAACATATCATTCAATTTGGTCTTTAGATTATTGACCCAGACATGCCTGCAGGATACATGCATAATGGTGTTCCTATTCCTGCCCCACCTGATGATGTGTTAGCTTTGAAAAATACCTGCAAAGAGCCAGTTCACCTTGTATTGTTCTTTGATGCCAAACGCACGTGGTATGTAGTAATATCTTGACTATCTATTAACCATTAGACGTTTTGATTGATTCTCAACTTGTTTGGTTTGTTGCTAACAGGCAGTGGCTACCTAGAAATAAACTGGAACGTCTAGGAGAAGACAAGAAGTTAGATCAAGTCAAACTCACAGAATCTCGGAAACCTGCAGACCGTAAGGCTGTGCGGAGAGCTTTCAAGGATGCTATTTTGCACCGTATAGAAGTAACAGGATCAGAGTTGAAAGGAAATGCTAAAGCAGCCATAGCTCTTTTGGAGGAAGATGCTAGCTGAAAATGTCATCCTTTTTTTTGCTTTGCGAAGGTGCCAAGCATAAAGGGGACCAAACAATCCTACCTGACTGGCCAGTAATTTTTAGTTTTACTTTTTTAATGTTCATTACTTAAATTAGGATCTGTTAATTAATTGAAGAAGAGTTGGTCTCAAATACTTGATTACTGAGAGACTTAATCAGGCTGAACTAATTCCCATTGCATACAGGGTGGGTGGTCCGAGCCGTCTTTTTTTTCTGCTCATACTGTACTGGATCAGCAGAAAAAAAAGATGGCACGAATCATCCACCCTGTACTTAAGGATAGTGACAATTTCACATTAATTTATGAATATCTGCTTCTCGGTGAACTTATTTATGAATAGAAGAGAGTAAGTGTTTTGTTTCTTTAACTTCTACTTGTATGCATTCAAAGCAGTATTGTTTTTGTTCAATCAATTTTTTGCATTTGTGCCTTAGCAGATTTTTATGTTAGTTCCTACCATCCATATCCATCATTGCCTTTTTTTCACATGTTTTATTTTCCTTGGGGTTAAAAGTCAATGTTAGGACAGATTATCAACATATACAGTAAAACCCACTTATATCGGATTTCAGGGGCCGGCCGGCAAAATCCGATATAAGCGGGAATCCGTTATAAGCGTGAATTGTCTAATTAGGGTCAAATATGGGTTATTTCATCAAAATTAACGTTTTTAGGCATCATTGAATGAATTCCATTGATTGTCCATCAATTCCAACAGATATTAACAAATAAATGCTGGATAATGTGACACAATAGCAGAATTAGCCAAGTATTTTTGAGAAAATGTACATTTTGTGCCAAATGTGTCATAGGTTTGTGTCTGAAGTGAAGTACATACATAATAGGTTTGAATGAAAAAATAACAGCTCTTATGGAACATGAAAAGAAATTGTTATTAAAGGAAGAAGTATAAGTTCAATCTACTTATGATGTAATCAGAAAGTTACAAACCTAATAGGAACATAGAATTAACTTTCTGATTGCATAACAAGTACATTGTACTTATACTCCTACCTTAATAACATTTTCTTTTCATGTTCCATAAGAGCTGTTATTCTTTCATTCAAACCTATTATGTATGTACTTCACTTCAGACACAAACCTATGACACATTTGGCACAAAATGTACATTTTCTGTCAGTTTTTTCCTTAAAAATCCGTTATATATGGTCAAGGGACCGAAAATTTCGTTCGAAATAGGCGGGAATCCGTTATAAGCGGGTCCGTTATATGCGGGAAAAATAGCATTAGAAACATAGGAAAATTCAAGAGACCGGCCGAGAAATCCGATATAAGCGGTAATCCGTTATATGCGGGTCCGTTATAAGTGGGTTTTACTGTACAGTGCCCTTGGAAAGAATCGTCTCTCTGAAGCAGTTATACATTTAAACATGACATTGATGTGTGCCTCAACATACATTGTTTTTAATTACCTGTATTTTGAATTTGTTGGCGATTTGAATAGTGGTTTTATGCCTATTTTGTTCTTGATCTGGTAATTGTGGTTGAGTGGGAAGATTGCGACGATTCGCCCCATTTTAGTTCCGATTCTTGGTGATATCAAAGAACAGCAGGCCACCTTTTAGGTTCAAAATTGACTGAAGATGACTTTTATTTGTGTCATATTCATACCTGTGTAAATGTTTCTTATATTATTTATTATGTTTAGAATTTCAGTCATAGAAAACTATTTTGTCCCTACCCCTTCCTGTAATTAATAATTAATTAATTTGATCAGGTTCCTTTTTTTAAATACTGAGTGAGCTAAGTTATAACTGATTTTTGTGATAGGTAGAAATTAATTCTCTTTGATTGCTGTCATATTGTGGCATGTAAATCAGTTATCCTGTTAAGTATTTCATCTGTGCCTTGTCATTGCATATTCACATATGTGTATGTGATATTGAGTGTGTCTTTGTGTTGGAGAAATTGTCTAAACTATGCCAGTTACCTTAAAAGTTTTCATCTACCTACTTAAATCATTCCTAAACAGGTTTATAAGTTCTATTTTATATTTAAAAGAAAATGTCTTTCCATAATTTTTTTTTTACACTTTAGTGGAAGAACAAATTTTACAGTGTTGCCATATTTGCCATTCGGCGTGGCCAATAAAAAACAAATCATTTATCATTTCAAATTAAATCTCCTCATTGTAAATATATTTGTATTTATGTGCAATCATGTTAAAGATAAACCATCATGTTTTTCAAAAGAGTCATTAAATATGGAATATAGTACAACTGATCAGAAACCTTGTTGTACCTCACAGTTTTGTGCTCCCAAGTGTCGAGCCCGTCCAAACTATGAGACCTATGAAGTGGCCAACACCATGTGCTGTTACCTGCACTACCCTTACTTTGTAGAGAGCTCTACTAGACTCACTTTTGATGGTTTCGCAGGGAAGCGAGCGATGGTTTGTGGCTATTACCCATTTTTCACCCTTCGACCCCAAGACGCCTCAGGTGAAGGGCAGCAGCATGTTGACCATGTTGGGCAGCACGAGGACGCGCTCCATGTGCGCGCGCAGCCTGCGCTCGATCAGGCGGCACAGGAGGGCGTGCCGCAGGGTGCGGCTGCCCACCCGGGGCACGGCGGCCAGCCGGAGGCAGGGCACCCCACGGAAGCCCAGCCAGACGCCGTCCGAGGGCGGCGGGGGCACGTGCACGCAGAGCACGCCGTCGAGCGCGCGCACCTCCACCACCAGCACGATGTCCGTGTTGGACAGCGCCAGCAGCGCCGCCTGGAAGAACCTGCGCAGCACGTGCGCACCCCGGGCGGAGTCAGCCCATCTTGTTTCGTTGTCACCATTTCTCATTGGGATTGGCCGGCATTCCCTGGTCGGATCGTCGCCTAGGGGTGCCGCGGGCTCTGTTTCTATAGTCACTTATAGTCACTCACCTGCTCTCTGCCAGTCGTTTGAAAATGCCCCATGTCCCGGTTCGCTGTTGCAGCATTGGCGGCAAGGTCGGCGGCAGCTGCTCGACCTCTTCCGCTACCTGGTCCTCTACCCCGTTGCCATCGAGGTTGATGGGCGCCGTTGAGGGCGGCGGCTTTGCCTGCTGTGCCTGTTGCTGCTGTTGTTGCTGCGACGTCAAGTTCAGCCTGCTGGTGACCACGAGCTGCATGACGCCTCGGTAGCTGACGTCCAAGTCGACCCAGAGACCCTGCGCGTCGAGGCGAGGCCGACCCGCCCTCAGCACCTTGACGGCGGCGTGCCTGCAGCGCACGGCCGAGACCACGGGCCGCTCCATGTACGCCGGCACCCTGACCGAGGCCATGCGCTTCTGGACGTGCTCCTGCACGGCCGCAGCCCAGCGCGCGCTGTGGCACGCGTCGAACAGCACGCGACCCGCCAGCGCGTTGAGGCCCTGGTAGGCCGCGGGGTCAGCGCCGACCTCGCCCGCGTCCTCGGCAACTTCGCCCTCGTCGTCGAGGTAGTGCTGCAGGGAGGCGACGTAGTCCTCGAGGAAGGCGGCGTCGTCGAGCGGGTGGGGCTCACCGGTGGCCCGGCGCAGGCGCCGGAACCACTCCTCCTTCTGGCGGGCGGTGCGGGCGAGCAGAAGCAGGGAGGTGCCCTGGACACCGATCGTAGAGGCCATCGAGGCCGGGCCGATTTCGTCCACCGCGACGTCGTCGTCCACGAGACCAATGATCTCCTGCGACATGATGCCGCCCAACAGCCTCTCCTCGACGTCCTCGACGTCGCATACCTTCGTTACGTCGGCAAAGTTAACGGAAAGATCTGAAACGTCCGAACCGGAGGAGCGCGACATCCTCGGTTGTTTGCTGGCAGAGGCTGGCACGTCTTTGCTGGAATTTGCGCTGGTCGCCGCCGTGGACATCACGAGCGCCGAGGCCGCGGGGACGGTCACTGTCGGTAAGCTCGTGCTGGAGGCTCGCGGTGAGTCCTTGTGTGAAACTGGCGGTGACGTGGCCGATGTCGTGGGCGAGATCTTCACCGTCGCACTGGCTGCTGAGTCGACCGAAGTCCTCGCCGACCCCTCCTGCGAGCCAGCGGGGAAGTCCTCGAAAGAGGCCAGGGGCGTGGACGCAGCGGAGACCATGATGGAGGGCAGGTCAAGCGCAGAAGCGGCCGCAGCGGCAGGTGGAGGGCTCTGTGCGCCCTGCTCGGCTGGGGCCACGGACGACGACGTGCTGGGTGTCGTCGGGGCGAGGACGTTCTCTTCCTCGCCCAGCTTCTCGCTCGCCACAATGGAGATGGGGTACTTGCGGCTCCAGCGCCTGGTCCTGGACAGGTCGGCGGGCAGCAGGGAGACGACGCCGTCCTGGAGGTGGTACTGCCGGCGGTGTGTGAGCTCGGAGCGCGCCCGCCGCAGCAGGGCCTCGTCCTCGCTGCAGAGCGCGGCGCGCGGCACTCGCGGGGGGCGCGCCGCCCCGCAGCTCCACACGCTGAGCACGCGCCCCTCCAGGCGGACGAACACGGGCCTCGTCAGCACGGCCTGGTCCCTGCCCGGCCCCGGCGCGGCCTCCTGGGCGGGCGTCGTCGCCGTGATGCACTCGAACATCCACGACTCGAACGTGCCGCCCGGGTGTACCCCATGACTGCGTGTGTAGACAGTTCACCCCTTTGTGGCCACCCTGTCGTGGTGATGATGTCTCCCCTCCCCGCTGCTCACCTGCACGCGGCCCCCGCGGAGTGTTGCTCGGCACGGCGCCGCCCGCGCACCCAGTCCCAGGGGCAGGCCCTCGGCGACAGCAGTGCGCCCACCTCGGACTGCACGGTGAGGACGAGCACCGCGCCGAGGGCGGCGAACGCGGCGCACACCGAGCCCCTGCCGCGCAGCCCCCAGCGGCCGCCGCCGCCGTCATCGCCGTCCTGCTGCAGGTAGAGGTGCGCGGCCAGCACTGCCACCCCTGCGAACAGGAGTCTTAACAGCGCGCTGCCCACCCACGAGCTCCGCGACGGCCCGGCGAGAGCGCCGTCCCAGTCGTCGCCACCCCGGTAGCCGCCGACGGCATCCTGGCAGAGGGCATGCCATTCCAGTCGATGTCAAGGAACAGAGAGGTTCGCGTGGCCCAGTGAAACAGGGCCGGTGACAGCTTTGAATTTCCTGCCGGCGCAAGCCCCCTTCCTCCCTGCCCCGGAGATCGGCACCGCGAGGCCTTCCTCGGCCACGATACCGGCCAGCAGCCGACTAGCTGACTAGTCAAGTCCAGCCTGTTCGCCTGCCTGTCCGATCTGAACTACTATCAGTCGTCGCTCCCGAATCTCCCGCTTGCGTCTCATGCGGAATAAAATACGGACTTTATTCATGATATTCACGGCAGGCCCGGTCGGGCCCGGTCGTTGCCTGGACGAGGCGATTCACTGGGCACGGGGCGGGGAGTGACAGCCAGGTCGACATCGCACCTCGGCGACCGCCAGCAAAGCCGAAAGGCAAAATCTCATAGGGGGTGGGTTTGGTAAGAAATGAAAGACGGGGAGGGAGGGTTGGGATTGTGAGAGTTGTTATACTGGGTCAATAACACGAATCTCCCCACACCGAAAAAATAAAATACATAGAAATAAAATGTAGCTCAGACATGCGTACGCAGCGTACCATTGCGCACCCATTATGTAATATTCCTAGGAACCTTTATGGTACGTTCCATGGAACAGGTACCTGTTTGACTTCGCCACCCACTAGCTGAAATACATCGGAATACAAACTACATGAACAATATTAGCTTCCCTCCACACTCACCATGTCCTCGGACTGCGCGAACTACGGGACAGAGATAGGGCAGGCTGCAGCCATCAACCGATCAATCGGATCATCCGCGGAATGTCCTGCTGCTGGGCCTAAATTTACTTTCTTGCTGGCTTCTGTTGACAGATCCGCTGGGCCCGCGCTGTTCCGGGTGTTTCAGGAAGGCCTAGCAACAACAGAGTCGGCAACAGCACATCCAGGAACAGCAGTGTCGGCACAACACAGGGAGCGAGAGAATTAATGGGATTCCAATGTTTGTTTCGATTTTATTTCACATTTCCCAGTGTTCCCCGTCAGAGTGTGCCCTTTGTTCGCGATCGCGGCCCTCGCGGTGAGGGTCGACCCTGCGGGGCCGCGACCGGGCGGGATAGGGAAGGGCAGGGCAGAGGGCCGGCAGGGCAGGGCGGGCAGGGCGCGGCCAGGACTTCGAACTTCGGTGCATTTGCGAGTCAATGCTACTGCTACACTCCATATTCCCATAGCTGAGCCGGCGAGGGCCGCCGCCGCCCCGGAGTGACCACCACCTTGACGTTGTGGTCTGGAGGGCGCGTGCCCCACGCCAGCGTAGGAATATACTGCGCTTCGCCCTTTTTAAAACTATGGTGATGAAGCGTTTGTCGGTCGATTCTGAAAAGTTTTTGTATGCGATCAGAGCTGCCAACACCAAGGGCAGGAAAATTATTACAAAACAGCGGGTCTCTTACCGGGTCTCCTCGCGATTAGGGAAAGAGTGACGAAATGGTGCCAACAACAACAACAACAACAACAACAACAACAACAACAACAACAACAACAACAACAACTGGTAATACGTACGGCGCCGGGATGGCGGTGCGCTCGCCGGCGCCGTGCCCTGGATTTATGTATAATGTACTTATTGTAACGCAGCTCCGCAGAGATTTCCCCGGCGGGCCTGCACGCACACACCCCCACTCGCTGTCATAGGCTCTCATCAAAGTTATTCGGAACTCAAATATCCCTGGGTAAATGGGAAGGTTTCGCAGGTTTCACAGTATCTCCGACATTTTAGCCCCCCAGCGCGTAAATGCGGAAGCAGGATGGTCCGAACTGCCCCGGGAAGTCCACGGAAATCATTTGAGACTCTCCCGCTCCCGCGGTCGCCGGGTCACAGGGAGAGGGGAGGGGCCAGCGTGGCTGTCAACGGCAGAGTCTACGCTCCACATTTCCATAGCTGAGTCGGCTGAATTGATGGCGAAATGAATGAATCTGTTTAGCTTTTCACCTGACACCTAAATAACAACACTTAAACGGATAATGCCATTACCGATTTAATGTATTAAATTTAAAGCTTGTTTAGGGTGGGTTTGCTTACACTTTTGAAGAGCGACAGCAATATGATGCTTGGATCATATGGTTACTGATGAACTGTAATGAGTTCCCAGTGAGAACACAAAGTCAGGACGGGGTCAAGGTCAAAATGAGGTCCTTGCAGGTCTCTTTGACGTCGAAGTCCGTACCTGGGAGGACTAGATTTTGACTTTGAAGGTCAAAGTGACTTTACTTTGACGTCATTTTAACGTATGTAATTTTGACTTGGGCCTTCTAGTAATGTTTGTCAGTTTTGGGCGCGGCCCAAGTGATGACTTTTGGTGGTGGCCACAGGTAGGCGCGGCTCAAAAGCTATACAGCCATTTCAATGGAGTCTGAAAAGGATGTAAGAACAAAACGGAAGTTAGAGAGCAGTGGTGGGGGTAGACGGGGGGAAAGTCGCGGGTGGATGGGGTGGGATTGCGGGGTGTTGGGGTGTGGGCCGTTCCCCACTCTCCTCCCCGCATCCACCCCCATCACCGCTCTCCGGGTCCGGTTTTTGTTGTTCTTACTTTCTTTCTGCATTGAAATGCTCTGTGGAGTGAGAAGAAACCAGAGCCCAAAGAATAAAAGACCATCGCCGCGGTTCCTCCTGTGCGCACATCTTCAACTTCAACTTCAACTTCAATGAGGGTTAGGACGTCAGTTCACATGAACCTTTAGCGGCTAATGGTGTGCAGAAAATGGGGGGGATGGGTGCGGGTGGAATCCATTCGCGAAGCTTCGTAAACTCGACGATCCGCCCCCATCAAAACCATGCTCAGAAGTGAGTAATTTTTTTCCAGAGAGCGCCAGGCCGGCGCCAGGCCATACTTCTATCCTTTCTGGACGCGTCCCGCGCCGTGCGGAAGTACAAACTCTCGTACGAACTCTAAAAGTGGAGAAACACACGCATGTAAATAAGCGGGCTTTGGCCGGAGCAGGAGAGGGAAGGAGGTGTTGGTGTTGGAGAGGAAAAAGGAAGAAGTGTCCGCAATCAAGTCCGGTCGGGGGCGCACGTCCACCGTGCGCACGCCCGCGTCAGGTGTTGATCTTGTTGCCGGCCGATGGCGCCCTCGCGACCAGCCGGATGTAAACAGGACGGGGCGCGCGCGTGGGGGCGCGGAACGAGGGGGAAATAACTCCGGGAATCATGTGTACACCTGCCTATGGGAATCATCAGGGTTAAAATTAATCAAAATCGACAGAAATCGCTTAAAATAATCGGGAAACTAGTGAAACTCGTACAATGTAGTCGAAATAAGCGTTTTCTACCACTTGAAAACCTAAGAATTGAACAAAAGTAGGCGGGAATCATTGATTTCGGGAATCACGTGTACACTTCAAAAGGGAGTTATTGCCCCCTCGGCGCGGAAGGGAGGGGTAGCACTCGGGAAGCAATCGGGAAGCAATCGGGAAGTGATCGCGAGCCAATAGGGAAGCAATAACGCCAACGCGGACACTCGGGGACGCACGCACGCGCCCGCTTCGCAGCCAGTGCCGCCCCTCAGGTCCCCCCCTCAAGGAGCAGGGGGTTTGTGTGTGTGTGGGGGGGGGGGGTGCTGAGTCCACCCGTCCCCATGGGCCGCCCCCGGCCCCCACGGACCCTCCGCGGGCCGCGCCCCACCGGCCGTCCCTATCAGGTGCTTGTTTATTTCGACGTGCGTAGGTCGCCATTTACTCGCCGCTTTCCCTTTCCTGTCCCTGGCCATGACCTTGGCCCCAGCCTATTCCTATTCCTTTTTCACCTCTCCCCTCTGTCGCCCCACTTCGCTATACCTTGCTCTCTCCCACTGGTGTTTTCAATCAGTGTTTTGCGCCAGCTCTGCTCGCCCCCGCTGCGCGCTTTGTCGACAGCACCCCCGCGGCGGGCGCGGTGCGGGCGTGCGGGCGCAACACCCCGTATTCTCTCTGTAGCCCGGCCGCGCTCTGGTGCGCCATGCCGCTTGTCTGCGTCCAGGTGCCCTTCCTATCGACGAGTGTTGAGTAGGTCGTTTGTTTGCCATTCGTGTCCTTCCGCTCCGCGCCTGCGGCACCAGCTATGGGCGTGTCTGCCGAGGTCGGCCCTCGCTGTCTGAGGACACGCGGCGGGGCTGGGCTGGGCGGTTATGGATGAGGATATCAGGTCAGGGAAGGGTACCTCTACATCTGCTTACCCGCGCTCAGGAGATCGAGCTGGGGGAGAAAAAAATGAAGAAGTCCAACATGACGACAAGATCTCCCCGTCACCGACTTCAGAGAGCGGCGCAGAGGGAGCATCTCGCACCTGAGGCATGGTGTAAGTACACCGTGCACCTGGGTTTCCCGGGTCAGCCGGTGCACAGCCCACGATCTCTCACTCTGCCCACCCCTCTTGCTCTCGACATCTCCTTCCCTCTCGCACTCTCACTCTGCCTCCACCCCCTCGCTCTAATCCCCCCCCCCCTCTTTTCGTCCTCTTCCTCTGCCTCCATCCCCCACGCCGAGCCTGAGCGTGCGAGCGTGAGTAGGTGTCGTGTTATTCGCGCTGTTCTCTCTCCGGTCCGGTGGCGCAGAATTGAAGAGAATGGAAGGGCGGCTCGTGTATCGCTCTCGCGGAACAAGACATGCAAAATGATAACGTCTTTCAAGAGTCGCGGGGAGGACAGAATCCAACACACCTGGGTGGAGTCGGACATGCGCGCTCGCATGGTCAGGCTCGTGCAGAGCCCGGGGCGTGGTCAGGCCCGTGGTCAGGCGCAAAGCCCTGCAGCGCAGGCCTCCCCCGCCAACAAGGACCCCTACCAGCTCAGCTCGGTGATTCCGCAGGCTTTGTCTCCAACCCTCAACGCCGATTCCTGTGCGCCGATTGGCCGCGGGCTCAGGAGGTAGCGGAACAACAGCAGTTTGTCATGTGGGTTACATAGGTTGGAAATGCCCCCCCCCCTCCTCCCCTCTGGTGCCCCCAAGTCCGCTCCTGGGGGCACCAGGCTACGCCGGGTACGTCAGTTCAGACGCTCAGACGCACTAGCAGAAGTGTGGGATTAAAAGAGCTCCACGGAGAGCTCACTCGGGAGAGGCGGCAGCTCTGCCTGAGGCCACCGCCCTGGCCCTCCTCCGCACCATCCCTTCCTGCAGCCTTCGCCACCGCTTCCTGGAGAGAGGGATTATGGCCCCCTTTCTGTTTAGAGGCCCGGACTGGGCCACAACGCCGCAAAGCAAACTCCATGTCCGTTCTCTGCGGGTCCCGCGCACCATTCTGTGGGTAGGGCTGGAGAGAAATTCAAATTGAATTTATCAAGAGAGAGAGAGAGGGGGGGGATGCAAGACCATTTCGTACGTAGCACAGCCCCTCTAGCGGAAAGGCGACGGGGGCGGGGGCGAAGGCGGGGGCGGAGGTGGGGAGTATTGGGTGGTCGCACCGACGCCACCGGGTCAAACGGTCAGACTGCCGCACGCTGCCCCAACTTCGCGCGGAGGCTGACTTGGCGGAAACCAAGATGGAACTAACAGCACCACGGTACACCGTGAACAGCACCGACCGGCACCGACCGTACGAGGAGGTAAACAGGAGAAGGTGAGCTTGACTAGAAAATCCAGAGCAAAGCAGCGGGGCGTGTCAGGTTGGGCGTACTACGGATCTGCTCCCTGTCTCCTGCAGCACCATCGTGAGATCATGAGGGAGATGTGGAGACGCCGTACGAACGAACCATCAATGATATCCTAGGTCCGTCCGTAGCTGCTCTAACCCTTGTTGCAGAGCAAGTGTTGAACCAAGTACTGTACTGTGTGCAGCCTGCTGGGCTTAGCGCCAGAACCATACACGTACCAGTGAAAGTGGCGAGTGTAGAGTGAGCGGGGGCGGGGGCGCTCTTCGCGAGACGGACGGAGGGCGAGAGAGAAAAGGCGATTTGGAGTGGCTGGGTGCAGAACTGCAACGACGACACCGGGTATACCAGCCCTCGCTCGGCCCCTCAACATTCGCTCTCTCCCTCTCTCTCTCTCCTCTCCCCCTCTCCCTTTCAGTCTTTCCATACAGGTTGCTCCATAGAGAAATATCCGCAGAACACATAATCTCTCGTGAATCCGCCCCTGGATTGAGTTAGGGTGCTCGAGGCTCCGGGCTCCGTGCCAATCGACGCGTGGACAGGATTCGAGGAGGTGTGAGGTATGTTCTGCAAAGGGATATGAGTTCGGTATAAAGGGACGTCTGCCGTATCGACGAATAATAACTTCCAGGGAAAGAATGTGCATCCAGGTATGAGTCTAGCGACTTCCGCCAACTTAATAAAGTTTGCTACTACCAGGTATGCGGTGCGTGTGTCCTAGTAGGGTTGTCGACCGCGGGGCGACAGATGATGGGGGAGGGGGGGGGGGAGGGTCAGGTTCCTGAACATAGGGGTGTACTGTACTGCATTGTGTCAAGCACCAAGCTCTGATGCCCCACCTCCGCGCCGCACACACGCACTAAAACTTATGGCATACGACAATCAAGTAAATCTATGCAAATGGCGGACGTGCCGTCACGTTGTAGTCGAGTACATGAGTTGCTGTCTGCGAATCCGACGCGCCGCCCGGCTCCTTCCCCTGGGGAGGCTGAAGGAGGGTGGGGGCGGTAACTTGGCTCCTGCCCCTCTCCCTCTCTCTGACAGGCCCTCGGGCAGCTTCTGGCTGTCGCCATCATCCATATCCCTCGAGATTCCTTCCCAGGAACAGCACAGACTCCCCTTCCCCCTCCTACGGCCCCCTCGACCTCCGCATCATCGGCGTCCTGACCCCGGCCCGCAGTCCACCCAGCACGTTGGCGGGGCGGAGAGGGGCGGAGTGGGGTGAGGTGGGGCGGGGTGGGGCGGGTGTTGCGGCCGGCCCCGAGCCCCAGACCCGACACCCGGCATGGCCCGCGCCCGCGCGCCGCGCGCCAGTCGCCACCCTGCCGCCGAAGGCTCAAGACGTGCTCCTGTCGTCGGAAGCCTCCGCCTGTCACCGCCGGCCGGACGACACTGCCGCCGCGAAGCACTGCGCCCGCTCCTCGTGTTGACGGTCCCCTCCTCGTGCACCGAGGCCCGGGCGAGGCTGGCGCCCTTGTGCCCTCTCGCGAGCCAGTGTGTGGCGCGGGTCGGGCCCACGCCCCTCGCAGTGCCCCCCGGCGGCCCGCCCCGCGGAGCCCCTTCGCAGACGCCCCCCTCCCCCCTTCCCGCCACGCCCGGCCGGGCCCGCGTACGCGTACGTACTCGAGCCCACTCCGAGCTGCGGGCGAGGGCGACCAGCGACCAGGGCGACACTACACTGCGACCTGCAAGCCGACCAGTCGTCTCACCCATTCCGTTGGTCAGGCCGTCAGGCTGGGCGCCACTCCGCCCGCCAGCCCGGTGGCCCCGGTGGCTCTCTCTTCCGTGTGTGTCGCATCGCCGCTCTGCTGCTGTTCTCCGCCGACTGACCGCGCGCGTCGGGAGTGCGTCGCGTTTGCCTCTCGGGAGGATTTGTGTGCAGTGAAGTGACTGAGAAGTGTGAGGATTCGCGAGCCGGTCGGCATGTGAGTATGCTGCCAGGATGCTGCCGGACCCGTGAGGCGAGCCACCAGGACACCGCGGAGGACAGCTCAGGCTCAGGGGAGGCGCGCCCGGATACTCTTCTACCCCTAAACATCGAAGCCTGCTCGTGGTAAGTTGGCGCCACCGCGTCACGGTCACGGTGTAAAACGGATTATCTAGATACTGGCCTCAGTAGAAAACAATTTTCTTGTTCTAGGAAAGAGAAATTTGATTTTTATTTTATTTGATCGTTACTGTGATTCCCTTTCTACCATTGCTTGAATCAAATACATTGTGACTCCCATTCACCTCCGACCCCCTCCGGCTCCATCCCCACCCTTTACCTTAACCCCTCGCGCCCCACCCCACCCTTCAGCCATCACCACTACAACCCTTTACTCCCTCGGGGCAAATTCTCTTTCAGCCGAGACCTTTTAATATTGCATAGTCGCAAAAATGTAATACTATCACAGGACTATCACAGTAATGAAAAAATTCCGGGACGCAAAAAAA